GGGTTGCCAAAGGCTACTCCCAGGTCCACGGTGTCAACTACACGGACACCTTTGCCCCGACGGCTACCATCGCAGCCATCCGCACCATGCTCGCCATGGCCGTCGCGCGTGGCATGGACATCCAGCAGATGGACGTCAACACGGCGTTCCTCAACGCGCCCGTGGATCACGAGATCTACGTCCAGCCACCGGCCGTCGACGGCATCTTCTCGCCGAATACGGTCCTGCGCCTCAAGCGCGGGTTGTATGGCCTGAAGCAGAGCCCGCGCCTGTGGAACCACACGCTGGACGCCTGGATGCGCGAGCAGGACTTCATCGCCACAGCCACGGACGCCTGCATCTACCGCCGCACCTGCAAGGGTGGCAAGGTGATGTGGGTTGCCGTCTACGTGGACGACCTGCTCATCTTCGCCGACAGCGACAGCGACATGGCCGCGTTCAAGAAGGCCATCTCCAAGCGCTTCAAGATGAAGGACCTGGGCAGCCCAGACATTTGTCTCGGCATCAAGGTGCAGCACGACCGCAAGGCCAGGACCGTCACCATGAGCCAGGAGCACTACCTGCGCAGCGTGCTGGAGACCTTCGGCATGGCTGACTGCAAGCCGGTCGGCACGCCGCTCTGCACGGGCTACGTCGACAAGCCAGCCGACAAGGAGGAGCCACTCCCGGATGTGCCGTTCCGCGAGCTGCTTGGCTCCCTCCTCTATGCTGCGACGATGACGCGCCCAGACATCTCGGCGGCTGTCTCCATCCTCTCTCGCCGTATGCAGCACTTCGGCATGGACCATTGGAAGGCTGCCAAGCACCTTCTTCGCTACATCAAGGGCACCTTGTCCTACACCATCAAGTACGCCGCCACTGGCGACACCAGCAACGGCAGCACTGCCGACGGCGTGCTCTCAGCGTACTCGGATGCGTCGTTCGCCTCCGACGTTGACACGCGACGTTCCCGCACGGGCTTCGTCGTCTTCTGTTCCACGGGCCCCGTGTCCTGGAACTCCAAGCTGCAGGCCACCGTGGCCACAGCCTCCGCCGACGCGGAGTACATGGCTCTCGCAGCCACCGCACAGGAACTCATGTTCCTTCGCCAACTCCAGGAGGAGCTCACCGGCGCCGTCCTGTGCGAGCCCACGCTCGTGCACACGGACAACCAGCCGGCGCAGCGCGTTGCCGAACACGCCGCCTCGCGCATGCGGCACATCCTCGTCAAGTACCACTACATCCGCGAGTGCGTCGACACAAAGAGGATTGTGCTGAGCTACCTCGCCACGGAGCATATGATCGCAGATCTTCTCACGAAGATCCTCCCTCGGCCCAAGACGGCTCAATTCAGCGCACGCCTCTTCTGCCTTGCAACAGGCAGCAAGAAAGCATCCACATCATCTGGTCTCACACGGGTCGCCGCTCACGCTGCATTCACCAACGACGTGGCAGCCCCTGACGGTTCACAGGCACCACAGGCCATGTGCCTTACACCAGGCCTCGTCTGACACGCCCTTCCTGTCCGTCATAGGGCCTCTGATCAGCGAGGACCACAGGCACGCCTTCCACGGGCCGGTTCTCTGCGCTGACCGGGCACCACAGGCACCATAGATGATCCTCTTCTGCGACTCTTTCCACGAGCGCCTCATTCATGCAATACTTCTCCTACACTGTGCCTTCCTCAACACGCACGCACCAAGTCACTTCCTACCATGAGCGCGCCCCAACCAACGTCCTCACCACAATACACACTACATTTCTTTGAGACTTCTGTTCACGTTCAACGACGCTTTACTCGATATGCTGACTCGAGAGTTCCCACACACTCAGACCAATGCAGATCATCAAGGGGTGCAACGCCACGGTAACTGTCTAAGATCATGTTGTCACGAATGCATATCACATGGCGCATGTCTAAGTTCTCAGGGGGATGCACAACAAGGAGCAACATCTGTCGCTGTCGCCCAAGCTTGAACACGGTACGACGAGGTCGGCGCCCACGCACAGCTGTCACCGTGTACGAGTTGGTACTGAGCCACTCCAGCGGGATGTTGAGTGACCAATTCCCTGGTGCTCTCTTCGGCTTGCCCAAGCCAGCGAGCGACCAACCGTTCCGGCGGTACTGGCGACAATACCGCAGACGGATTTTCTCAAACGAGGCAGGCGAAGCAACCACGCCCGAAAGCAGGTTGTTCACAGCATGCAATGCGCATCGAGTGCTTACTTGCTTCTGAACTAACCCATCACCTGCCCAGGACATCCCCCTGTGAGGATGGCCGCTTAAACGGGGTTTTCTTGGGGATGCTCATCTGCGGTTGAGGTGAACATCGCACAACTCAGCGACTGTTCTGCGA